TGTTCAAATTTAATGACAAAAAAGATAAATGTTATTAGTAGTGGAATAGGAAATGTACATGTTGTAGCAGCTGATGAAATTAATGTTACACTAAGTGGTATTGGAACTGTATTTTATAGTGGACCATTGAAACAGCAAATTAAAACTGGTCTAGGAAATATTGTCGAAGTAAAAAATACAAATATTGAACAAATTGGTCTAAGCTAATTTTTCAATTTTAGTTGTAAATCATCACATGAAATGATCACATTAAAAAACTTTATACTTTTTTTTATCTTTTTACTTCATCTAGGAATATAATTTTTTTTTTTTGTAAACAAGACATACATAAGATAGTTAGAAAGATGGGCTAGATTTCTTATTTTAGTCTTGTTGTTTTCTCTATGTGAACTAAATTATTTTCGAATATTGTTACGATCTAGAGCCAATAAGTGAATAAAAATAAATTTCTTTACGGTAACAGTTATTTATTTAATAATTTACATTTATTTTGACATTTCGACTCTTCATTGAGTCATTTACAAAAGTAAAATATGAATTATTTACTTTTGAAAATGACTCAACAAAGAGTCGAAAGAGTCAAGATAAATTTAAATTATTAAATAAATAACTGTTACAATAAAGAAATCTATAATTATTTTCGATACTGTTGTCTTATTCATTCATGGGTAGAAATTCAATCATTTCAATTTCGATTATTTAATTCATTTCAAGAATAAATCAGTATACCTAGTAATTATAAGATATCATTTATTTAATGACTGGTTATGGAATTAATGAGTTAGTGATGTTAATCTATTGATTATTCGACTATTACTAATACTTACGACTAAAATGAAATTTGTCAATATGAACTATTTTTGAATTAAATCTAGCACTATTATTTTGATATAATCAAATACTATCTAAATCATTTCTGTTTGAAATAGACACTGTTAGTGATAATTATATAGTTATTTATTGATTTATGCAATAATTGTCGTACATAATAATCTTTCGTTTACGTTTAAATTGAAATGTATAAAAATAATTTTACAAATTCATTAAATATTATATCAACTATCGGTTAACGCATGTATATAAAAAGTGATTATTTGTATATTGTCAGCATAATTTTAGCTGGTTACACTCATTTTCATATCATTTAGACTATTTACTAATAGATACATATGATTAGAGTTATCTATTATATATTTTCTAATATTCAACTTTTTTCAGTTTAATGATATTATATGACTTTCCTCATACTAGAATTGATATATGGATACATCACTATTGAAATAGGTCAACACGTACGTTTTCTATAATAGAAATATTTTTATATCGAAATAGTTTGATAGCGAACGTTGATAGAACGATATCGTTCAATTCGAGATTATCTATATCCAACTAAAACATTTACAATCAATGGTTAATGTACATATCATATGAATATAAATTTAGTTCATATATAATCACTACCTGTATAGTAGTAGATTGAGAAAACAATATAATCTAATGTATTCGTTTCTTCTTTCAACCGTATTAGATGAGAACAGATTCAGTTGTTGACACTTATGTATGTGAGATTTTTTTTTAAAAACAACGTCATTGTTTCAAAAACACACACACTGCCCTAAAGATATTTGAATGAAAAAAATATATAGTCACCACTATTACATATGCATGAACAACAAAAAAGAAGTCGATGTAATTCAAAACTTGAATGTTTGATTAGTAAAGTAAAATAGCACATAGTAAGATAAAACGAGAATTTTTGATGCGAATAAACTCTCATGTTTGACAATTGAGAAAAATCTAGCCAAATGACGACGACTATGTTACTTTCGTTATTCTTTAATAACAGGGATACATTTTACTTTAATAGTTAAGTCGTTTATTGAATTGGAAAAGCCTTATAGTTGATAACACAAAAAAAAGAAAAAAAACGAAAGCTTTTTTCTGTTTTTTAAAAAATACAACCCTTAAGGCATTCTCATAATAACGAATAGATTTTTTTCTTTTTCTTCTTCTCTTCAACACTTCTTATTATTATTATTTTCTATTGGTCACAGTCAAAAAGTTGGATGCCTTTCTAACAAATTATTTAAATAGTATAAGAGAGAGAATCGAGAACGGAGAAAAAAGTCCAAGTGAATATATTATTTATTAATTGTCGCTTTTTTCTTCTTCAAATCTGTATATTCAATTTCATAGAGAATGACAACAAAACAAAAGAAGTATTACATTTGGATGAATAAATTTAACTCTATCGACATTATAATCACGCTATGAATAACAACT